AAAAAAAATTAACTTTATGGTGTTGCAAGCAAATGAGACAAATCCAATTAAATTTTCCATCTCAGTGTCTGCATGCATACATCATATGACAGTAAATTTGTATTTTTAATTCTACCATTTACATATACCGGTATGCTCAGCGCGGCAAGACAAAGAAAAAATAAATAAATAAATAAATAAATAAATAAATAAATAAATAATCTTTATGCTCTCTCCCCACCCTACCCCAATACCCAAAGACTGAAACCCCAAGCGACACGTACTGTAAAGTTGCATACTGAAAATACTCACAGATGTTCTTCCTTTGTTCTTTCAGATATAGCCAACAATGCCTGATATCTTTGCCAATGTCGCTGTAGGAATAATAAAAGGACTGGTCTATGCATATGATTTTGTGACATGGCCCATTTATTTCCTGGTGTTCAGTCCTGTCTATAAATTGAGTAAATCCAACAGAATTAAGGTAAGTCATGAACTGCACAAAGGTTATTGAACTTGAAAAAGTAAATTGTCTTAATATAAGCATCATGCAGTCGGTAGCTAATTAATATAACAGCAGGATTTTGTCCAAGGAGGAATGCCAGCTGCAGGAGAATGAAGGAGTTGAAGAGACTATCCTCATAAAAGAATATCCTCATTAAGAAAATAAAAACGGTGCCTGAACTGGGACCAGAGAGAGAGAGAGAGAGAGAGAGAGAGAGAGGATGCATGTTGGAAGGGCACACTTTTTACCAGCCCAATTTCACTGCACATCCACACATCAAAATGTTTAATTTCCTGGCATTCACCATTACTATCAATATGTACAAATGTCTCCAATTTCCATTATACAGAAATTTAGAGACCATTCCCAGAGACTATCGTACTAACTTTGGACCGAACTATCTCCAAGGGGATTCTCGCTTAAATTGCAATTAACTTAAGCAGCTAAGATGCCTGTCATGCCTACAGAAACTGATAGGGGGTAATTAACTATCGTTAATTAGCAGCTTCAGCAGGCATGCCAGACACCTAAGCTACATACCTAAGCTGAAAGATGGACCTATCCTGTTAGATCGATCCAGGGATGAGAACCTACACTAGTGGGTTAGATTTGGTCTTAAAGTGCAATTTAAGTTCACAAGTGATCTTACACGATCTTAATAATTACAGCAGTACGTAGTCTTAAAATGGGCTGAATCTGCCTTTAAGATCAGAAATGATCTAACATTTACTTAAAGTAAGTGGTCAAGCAGTTTCCTCCCCTCACAATGCGGGGATGCCTCCCCTCACAATATAGAGGACACCTCTGCTCACAATAGGAGAATGTGTAAGGGGAGACAGCTTAATAGCGGACTTGCAATCAAAAGTGCGCTTGCGCGTGCGAGCTTCCTGCACCGGGAATGCTGGGAGAGATTGTAGTTAGCGCCATATGCAGACGATGCAAGATTCAATGGACAGTGAAGTACAAAATGTACCAGGTTCAGTGATAACTGGGGCTTTTGAAGGCTGCACTGTACCTGAATTGAAGAGGTGGCTTCGATGTCGGGGAGCGTCCGTATCTGGACGAAAAAAGGAACTTGTTGAGAGGTGAATAGTTTTATGAATTATCGTTGCAGTCGTGAATGAAAACATGTACCAAGTTTCAGGTTGCCCCGGGCAGGTTGCTTGCTTGTATATCGTTTCTGATTATTTTTTTTTCGAATGTTCTACTGAAGGATGAAGTATTTTAAACAATTTGCTCTTTTATATTTCCATTTGAAGTGATTCCGCCAGGAAATGTTTGTGTCCGCCGGGAATGTTTGTGTACATTTTCAAGTTGTAACATGTTTTCCCAGTCCCGGACTCATTATTGTCATTCCCCGATTTTCACAGAAATCTGATATTAAAAGTCGGATAAATACAAACTGGATGTGACAATGGTGCAGTGCTTAAGCACTGAATGACCTGTTCAACAGCCCAAAGTGATTGAAATGAAATAAATAAATACTATAAAATAAGACAGTGATTGAAATGAAAGAAATACTAGATAATATACAATAATATTTATTTATTTCTTTTGCAGGTGTTACATATACAGAAACGACAAAGCTAGATGTAACAAAATAATAAATCCCGATGCAATAGCTCTAAAAGAAGAAACCCTACCTGATGATGTTAACATGCACAATTTCGGATGGACCACATGTATTTCCCCATTACCCCAAAATCTACATTCATATATCTATGGCCACCTTGTTTTTTTTTTCTCAAGCCAGTCCTTTGCCTTTTAATGTTTAATTAATAACCTTGCCTCATTTCAGAACTTACCAATAAATCCATCAGTACCAGAAGACCTAGAAAGCATTGAATTTAAAAAGAGATGCTCCAGATATGCATCTTCACTGAAACAACTGACCAGAGATGAGATTGACCAAGTGGAAAAGGAGACAAGAGGGCAGGCAGACAACGAGAATTGGTTCAAACATCGCAAAGGTTATTCTTCAGTCAATAATATTGAGTACTTTTTGTCTGTATTTGCATATGCCTATATTTTTTATCCAGTCCTAACTGCATTTTCCATTATTAGTAATACAGTGTATTTGCCTTCTCTACTGACATAGCAAAATATAATAAAAAGACACAAGCTGATGTTTTTTGATGAATTTACAAAAGTATTTTTGAGTTACAAGAGAGTTAAAATAATGTCCATCCTTTTAAATAGAACGTCTAGTAGCTCAAGTTGTAGTTTAAATTGATTAAACATTAGTAAAAAAAGTTTTGTTGGTTAAAATGTATATTAGCAAGCAAATGATGCAGAGGCTGATAATATAAGTTACTCTCAGTTGTAAAGCTGTCACATATGTATAGCTAGAAAAATAATTTATGTTTTTAATCAACTTATAGGCAGGATAACAGCTTCCCTAGCTGGTGCCATCTACAAACAGCGGGACTGCACTCCACCAGATGGTATATTAAAGCAGATATTCCAGTATCAGCCAAGACTGAACTTAAAAGCTCTGGAACATGGGAAAAAGTATGAAACTGTCGCAGTGGACATGTATAAAATAGTTATGTCTTCATGTGGAAATGTTGTAGATGTGTTACCAAGTGGAGTGACGATTGACTTTAACAATCAATTCATTGCTGCAAGTGTTGACGGTGTTGTTAAATCACATGCAGATTCACATCAGGCTGGTAACCTAGAAATTAAATGTCCTTATGTTGAGCAGAATGTAACCTTAGAAGAGTTGGCCATTGAAAGAAAATCTTTTTATTTGTCTGCTAAATCTGATTGTCAGTCAAGTTATGATCAGTACTTAGAAAGCCCAAAGATGTATTCATTTAGGTGTGAAGATATGGTATATGTGAACACTCTTGATTGTAATCTCAATATAAACACTGCTCACAACTATTACATACAGATTCAAGTTCAAATGGGTGTGACAGACAGGCAGTGGTGTGATTTTGTGGTCTTTCTGGTTGATCAAACCAGACTTCCCAATGTTGCTGGACAATTATTTATTCAAAGGGTATTGTTTGACCGATGTTTTTATCAAAATGAACTTGTACCCAAGTTTCACAAATTTTATCTGACAGGCATTGTCCCTGAGCTTCTTACCCAAAGAGTGAAAAATGGGAGAAAGCTCTATCCAAACTCAAGCAAATACAAATACAAGTAGTAAAAATAACATGAGATTAAGAAAACACAAGAAATGAAACAGACATCTTATCTTAGAAGTAAATAGTCTGTGGATTTGTTTATTAACAACAGATACATACTTTTTAAATAAATGCTCTAACAGCACTATACTGTTGCTGGGGTGATACTCTTATGTCAAGCCCTGGAGGTGCTATTGTTATATATATCTGTATTATTATACACTGCTGGTGATATATGATTGCATAAGAAGCATTTATTACTGTTTTCACTTTGAGTATAAATAAAAAAATTGGTAAACTACTACATAGTGTTGAAATTTATACTACGTTTAGAAACACCTAGTAAAAGATAGATGAAAAATCAAGAGCTTCTTTGCATTACATGTCAATCCTTCAGTTTATTCATTGTCTCCAACAATGGGTTTACAAGTGAAGTTTACTAAATAACAACATATAACCCAGATTTTATTCAGTTCTGTAGCCATGGAGTTCGGAAATACAAACTGTAACAATCGAAAGTTTTTAATACGTTCTATCACGCGTTCAACATGAATACGCAATCTAGCAATACTCCTAGTTTCATCCTCTTCTTCAACAGACAGCTGTTCCTTGCCCTGCAAAAAAGGTGGGATGTTTAACTTCACCTTTTTGCGTGCCAGATATTCATCAATTAAAAATCCACGGTCAGCCATGACTGAGTCCTGCTCATCCAGTCCGTCAATAAGTCCACTTTTCACAGTAATTTCCTTGTCGGACATTCTACCCGAGACTAAATCAGTAACCAAAGTAATAAACCCATTTGGAGCAATGCCAACTAAACCCTTTGCAGTGTTGTGGCTCTTATATGAGGAGTTGGTTTCTGACTGAACGCGGAAGTGTGAGGGGGTTTGAATATAGATTTCAGTGCAGTCAAGAATGATGCGGGTACTTGGATACTCCTGTTTGAAGCACTGTGGCATAAACTCATGGACAACATCCCTGGGGGGCCATATTGGTACATCACGTAAACGTCGATACATGAAGTCGAAGTAGGTGATGCAGATTCTTGAAACTGTGGAAGCATGGATACCAAATCTGAATAAAACATATAAAATGAACAATAGTGGCACATCCTAAATAAATATTTTTTTTACTATTTGTTTATAGCTTTCTTTTTTTCCTTTTATTTAATTTTATGAATTACTGACAAAATATTCTTAAATTTGTTTACCTTCTTTATATTAATTAATTTTGTGTGGTTTTAGACTATTTGTGGCTTTGCATTTGTTAGCTGTAGTAACAGCTTCATTGTGTGGAGTGCCACTTGTAAACTTTTAGGAGTGGAATATTTTGAAGGAGAGATCCACACATTAAAAAGCTATTATAAAACTGCTTGCACGTAGTCTATTCATTGAACTTATATCAATTTTTTTTTTTACTTTTTCAGGAAGAAACTGTCCCAGGAAAGATAAAATAACAACTTTGAGTAAACAGAATTAAAAGGACATGGCTGCTTGGCAGTTATTCCTGTTTGGCCACTTTTCAAATTCTATTGAGGAAATGGACTTATTTTTGTCTAAAAGCACTTTCGATACTAGGCATTACATATATAATATTTATGTGTGTGTATGAATGTAAAAAGAACAACAACAACAAAAAAAGTGAATTCTAAGAATGCATTGCTGCATCCATTGTAAAATTTGCCATTTCCCTTTTCTGTGCTAGTATACATATTATGCCATGTGTAAACCTGTTATCTGAACAAGATGAAACTGAATTTTTATATGCACTTACAAAGGGTGAGATCGTAATCTTTGTTTATTTCTTTTTTTCTTTGACAAGCTCTTGGAATGGTGAATAGACCATGTTTGAAGGACCCCATTCATAAATTATTGAATGTCTTTTACTTGTACAGAATGACGAAAAAAAAAAAAACAAATTTAATAATGATAATAACAATAAAAAATGGATTCAAAAAAATGTTGGTTGATTATGCTGTCTTTGTGGAATGTATTGTTTGCAAGGTGCTGCCCTGAAAATTTCTATAGTCTAATGGTATTGAAATGACTGTATAACCTAAATAGACTTTAAATTTATTTATTTATTTATTCTTTGAAAAGAAAATTAGACATGATGAAAAGTTCTGCATATAGCAAATCCCTTTTAAAAATAGAAATTAACACTATTGTAAAGGTCAACTTACCTCCCCACTCCCCCTATTTTGATGACCCGTTGAAATTTTTCATCGATCTTAAAGCAGAATACAGGATAAGTCCTGTCCTGGAAATTACATCATTATCCCTTTTGTTTTGAGACAGATGTCGACTTGATGCCTGTTTAAGAATTGCCTGAAAATAACTACCTGTTTCGAGTTCTTGAGCTCTTTTTAACATTTGGCATGAGCTGAAAAGTCGTTTTAGAAGTTAAAGTACACCGCCTTAAGACTCCATTTCCAGAGGTTCACGCTAAATAGCTGTCAGCCGAGCGGACACGAAAGTTAATTACCCCCTTAAAGCTTGTAGTGGGCGGGACGGATATTTAAGTCGGATCATCTGACAGTAATCTAGTGAGACTCCCCGCGGGGATAGATGGATCTAAAAACTCTGGGAATACAGCCTTAGATTCCTCAACCTGGAGGCAGCCGAACGCAGGAGTCCAGCCACCGTTGTGTTAGGTGAGATTTTTTATCATTATCACACTCTTGGTTGAGCTCCTTGCGCATCTGTAGCATTTCTGTAAAATATTTTTTTTATATTCTGTCCTTGACCCGTATTATAATTTTGCCATTCACAATAACAATGTGCGATATTGTGGTGTTACCTATCATAGCAAAAAAAAAGACCTATCTATGTTTTCACGAAATCCCCGAATTTTTGATTTGAAGAACCAGCATATTACTTCAGTTTTCGTAGGCTGTGTAAAATATATGAATCCGGTTCAAAGTTCGTAGTGTTGCTGGCTTCCCGTTCGTGTTGATAGCTGCGATGTGAGTAACCTTGCCAGAAGAGAGGTGAGTGTCATATCCTTAAGCAAGTAATTTTATAGAAAATGGGCCCTTGAAGCTTTTTCTGGTGTTTCTGCCTGTGGTTAATTTGGTTCAGTTTATCATTCACTAGAAGGATTTCTGTATTTATCAATTACAATGACACAGACAAGGATAAAACCCAACAAGCGTGTGCAAATTCCCACGTGACAAGGCAAGCTCAGGATTCGTTTGTATCTACATATATGATACACTCTACCAGGGTGGCAGATATATTATGTACAGGGAAAATTACCAAAAGCCAGAGAGAGTAAAATGACCGTCTATTTATATAAAGACGAATCTATGAAAATCTTGTGAAAAATCAAGAGGGTGCATATCATACGTGTTACGTGTAGTGCCACTGGTTTAAATGTTAGCCTTTACGCCCACGCCCCCCCCCCCCCCCCCTCTCAGTATTTCTGTTTCCATTGCCATTTTGCTACTGGTGGAAATAATGCGATGCGGCACCATTCATTCCTTCCTTCATTCATTCAACAAGACATAGTTTTCAATAATATAAATACTATATAATAACAAGAGGGTATTATTGAATTGTTTTCTGTTTGCATGCAGCATATGCCAGCTAGTGTATGTACTAGTTTTTCCAATGAGTTTGATTCAGCAGCATTTAATTTATAATAGTCAATATTTTTTAAAGGCATTATTGCAAAAAGAATTAGCATAAATTTGTTTTTACATGGAACACCACTATTG